GTTATCCTTGTTTAAAGTTTTTAAAAAATTTATTAAAAAATATTTGCTTGATTTCTATTGACTCAACCCCATATATTTGGTAGGCAAATTATTTGCATTAATCCCACTTTCAATAATCATTTTATCAGCAATTTTGTTAATATAAGGTAAGTATTTTGTTGGTAAAATGATTATCAAGGTGGCTTTTGAGACCTACATAAGACAAATCAAAGAAATCTCAATTTTTTAATATTCGTTACAGGTATAGATATCCGACTTACTGATGTTGAATCCAGAATTTATATGTATATAACTGTAATATTTAAAAATTGAGAGTTCAATGAGTGCATGTTATGTATACTAATGAATTTTAAAAATTTAGTATGTTATATAGCGATCAACTCAATTACTTTACTTATCTAATGAATGCATCACTTGAGAGTATGTAGTAACATATATGCAGTTGTTCAAAATCGACTATGTATATGTAGTAGTTAGTTTTTAATTGATTAGTTGATTCGGTATAAATAAAGAGTTTAATTTCAAATATACTGTATATCATGCTTATACCAGTCTATATAATAAATATTAATCAATCAACTATATAAGTTGATTATTCGATTTGATTACTATGATTCGTATTATTATTATTATACAGAGGATCTACGGACAGTTCTTAGAGACAGTTTGAGGCATGTGATAATTTATGAAATCCGGATCATGTGATTTGATTATAGTAAACGAAACGGAAAAAAATTATTCTTGACATAGAAATAAATTTATTCACTTGTTAATATACAGTATAAATAGCATTGTCAAATAAATAAAAATATCATTTTATTTTTCAATAATTTTTGAGAAATATAGTAGCTCTATTTATAAATTGGGGTTTTAAACATTAATGTTTTTAGCTATCATACTGGATAGATCAATTGTTAAATGGCTATAATATACGTTAGACTGATTCAAAGAATCACAATAAACGACTGAAAATTGAAGATCATTCCTTGTAATTTTGAAACCTGTATAAGTATTTGAATTATATAGAAGAATAATCAAAAAGAATAAAAAAAAAAAATTTGATACAAAAAACTAGTTATTTGCATTTTATTTTCGCGCCTATGATAAATAAAGTAAAATAATAGAGAAATTAGTGAATCCATATTAACTAAAAAAGTTATTAGTTTGAATTTCATAATTGTATTTTAAAAAATCACTTACTCGGTTTCATTTCTAAGGTTTTATATTCGGGTTGTTTAAAAAAAAAATCAATTAGATTAGTCTTTTTCTGGCTATAGTTTGTAAAAGTTGTAAAAGTTTTTGATTGTAATAAAAGGATATTAAAAATAAATCTAGATGCTATTAAATTCATAACAATTATAAAAAAAAAATAAAGCTTATTAGTGATATTATAAAAGTACACCCATTGCTTGTTTAATTCTTTTATATAAGTGACCAATTTTTTTTTTTTTAAAAAAAAAATAAAACTTATCACAACAATGTTACAACCACATCCACAAATTCTGGAAGTTGGTGACAAATTTCCAACAGTAGAAAGCTTAAAGAAGCAGCACAGCAAGGTGCCAAGGCAGCAGGTTTCGCTTTTAGTGTATCTTCATTAAAAGTATCAGGTGGTGGAAAAGGTAGTCATACTCCCTTTGTTACTTTACAATGCATGATAGGAGGTAAATATAGAAATAACCATAACATTACAGAAGAAACTAGAAAACAAAATAAATCCACTAAGCGTCAAAATTGCCCTGTTACTCTACGAGTTGTTTTGAATGAAAATACTAAAGTTTGGGTGGTAATATCTTCAAAAAGTGAGCATAATCACGAGCTACTTCCTCCATCTTAGGTTCATTGTCTTTCTCAACATTGGCACCTTAGTACAGAGCAAAAAGAGTTAGTCTACATTATGCTTAAAAGTGGGGCATCAACTCAATCAATTGCTGATGCAATATATTGGAAGCAGGGCACTGTATACACTAAAGATATAATAAATGAGCGAGACCAAATAAAAAATGCATTGAATGAGGGCACAAACCGTGATACTACAGTACACCTTTTACAAATGCTAGATGAATGCCATTATATTGTTTGTCATGTGTTAACAAAAGATGGCCATTTGCTAACCTTATTTTTTACACATAACGAATCTGCACATCAAGTAGCCATATATCCAGAAGTGCTCATGGTTGACGCAACGTATAAGACAAACTTATACAAACTTCCTCTTATTAATGCAATCGCGTTAGTAATATTGGCAATGCCAAAGCTCTTAATACATATCAAATTGCAATGGCATGGGTAGCAAATGAACAAGAACCCACATATGAATAGTTTTTACTTACTTTAAAAGAAACAATTTATGATATTTTTTCTTGTTCTTCAGAAGTGGTTGTTTCGAATAGAGCCCTGGCCCTTCGAAAAGCAGCAGCAAAGATTTTCCCAGAAGCAAAAAAAATGGTATGCATTTGGCATATGCTTGTGCAAAATCTGCGAACTGCATGTAGAAAATTTTTCGACTCTGATGAAGATTATAATGAGCTTCTATTATCAATCCAAAAGGTTGCTTATGCTGAAGAAATGAATGAAGTTGAAAAAGCATTTAACGAGGTTAATAAGGTGGCAATGAAAAGTAGAAACCCAAAATATATTAAAAATTATTTTGAGGAATGGAAAAAAGATGCAGAATGCTAGATGCATGTTTTTACAAAAAATTATCCACAGTGAGCAGAAGGAAGCTATAGTGCTTTAAAAAAAGCAATCAAGACAGCAAGCGGTTTGGAGCAAGTATTCACATATATTGATCGTGCTTTTCACCAATGTCAACTACAAACAAATGGAAACTTTGGATTAAATGTAGTCTCTGCTGATCCATTTATACGTAATGATATGAGATTTGAGCTGCTACTTGAAAAAATCTCTAAATGGACAATTGATAAAATAAAATAAAAAATATGTGAGATTGAATATAGATAATAATCCTTGTAGCTGTAGCTTAAGATTAAATTATAAATTACTGTGTTATTATATAATTCCACCAACGGGTCCTATTCCACTTACTCTTGTACATTCTCGCTAGCATTTAAAACATGATTCAATACCTTTATTATCACCATCATTGTTAACCGACTTTGCTATTACTAAAGCCTTATATAAGCTTGAAGAAAAATATGAAAGTATAAATGATAGTAGATCAAAGGCTACATTCATAAATAAGATTGAAGAACTAGTTACTGAAGAAATTGCAGTTTCAGGTGTGGCGGCTTAGTGAAGTGGTCAAGTCATCACCCTCTCCAAGTAGCAGGTCTAGGGTTCAAATCTCACGGATGACAAAAGTTTGAAAAATAGGCTTGCATTATGGTAACGGATCTTCATTAAGTTGGGCTTAGATTAACCTGTAACTTCGGGTCACACCAATACTCTGTATTGGAAAGTTGTCACTGTCGGGCGTCTGCATACTGCCGAGCGGATATAGGATGTCCCGAACACTGAGGAACGAGAAGATTCTGGAACCTGCTTGGCAAGTCCCGAGTTGGGAAATAGCAGCGATCTTCGACTGTATCACATGAAAGGCTGAATTCGAACCGGAACCTGAGATTGGAGAACTGTAGGACCAGGTCCTTTAGTAGAGGGACACACCAGCCGAACTGCCGGTTTAGATGCACTGGAGGAAAGAGCATACGCTCCGAAAGTATGAACCAAAGGAAGGGCGTTCTTCAGGCACCTAAAGCCTGGGCAGACCAACCTTTCCGGGTTGCCAGCTGGAACTGCAAGAGGGACCGATGAAGCTTCCGGGTAAGGAGACGGCTGGATTGCGGGTACT